TGTTGAGTTACAAAAGGGAGATATGGCAGTCTGGATTATGTGCTCATCTATGGCTGGTACTACATACGATAGTAACTTTGGAAAGAACTTTCACTACACCGTGTTATAAATCTTATAGAAAATAAAAAATAGCAGCATGCTTATAAAAATAATTATCCAGTTATTTTATCTTATGATCCTGTTATAAGACGTATGAATATACCAATCGGAAGTAACAATGCATTATTACTGTATCACAATAATTATTGCAGTCAATCCATACAATATCATAGCGTGTGTGATAGGACGGTGAATATTTCATGTTTCGATTAAATGGATAATTGTGAAATTCTATGCTGGATACCTTTACAGTTTATTCTCTATCTAAAATCCCTTCTGATTCTTGAATTCTTAGCAAATGAATAAGAATATTCGTCGAATGGGTTCAACTAATACTCATCATAATATAGACTCACTTAAGGTTTTCATAGCTAAGTTTTGAAAATCACGTTGTTAGATTCCAAAAATTAATGAATACATAAAAAATGAAAATGCTAGACAGAAAGATTGAAATATATGACAAATACATTATACATCTACAGTTTCAATAGTTGATCATTTAAGGTAACGGAAGCAGCAGGACAGCAGAACCCGCGAGAAGCGACTGATGCAAGATACTTCTATATAGTATGTTTATGAGATCACTTATCACCCTTTTCCAGGTACAATCCGTCGGTAGTCGCAAGTCTGTCCTTTCATCAAGAGATCATTACCTATAGAAATAGAAGCAAACAGAAATGGGAAGGGTTAACAGCAATGAATAAGAATATGAAAACAAAAATGTGACACAGACTAGTTCGTATTGGCAGCAAGCAGGATTACGGTAAAAGTAATTGAATGGATATTCAGTCGATGCGAGGAAGAGAGCAAAAGACAAAAAGGTCTCACCGAGATTCGAACTCGGGTCACCAGATTCAAAGTCTGGTGTGATAACCACCTACACTATGAAACCTTTTTTCTCTCCAACTGGGAATCGAACCCAGGTCATCCGCGTGACAGGCGGAGATACTAACCACTATACTATTGAAGAGTCATAGAGCACGTGAACGCTGTGGGATTCGAACCCACGCCTCTTTCGAGATTCGAACTTGAGTCGAACGCCTTAGACCGCTCGGCCAAACGTCCATGCTTGATTTTTTGTTCATAACTGCGTACTAAATCTGTGCACACTCGTTTACCTTCTGGTATCACCTTTTACAAAACATTCTACTCAATCCCGCTTATCAAAGCCAACATAAATCATCACGAAACGAAACGTAAACTAAACCTCTTACCAAAATCAACACTAAATCATTACAATCAACCCAAAAATACCACATTCTGTCTGATTAGACTAAACCATTCATACAATGACAGACCGAAAAACGGTATACTTATGCAAATATCATATATTGTTATAATGCGTAGAAATTGACATTATTCACATGATTGTAAACACTAAAACGCAATGTCACATCTAGAATGATAATTTAATGAACTGCTGGGTATGAACTGCACAAGCTCTGGATATCTTTCCGTTATACCACATCCAACGATCAACTCCTCTAAGTGTAACTCTAAAAGAGGTGAATAGTCATTGATGGGGTTGTCAAATAGATACAAATACTTCAGTTTTTTCAAACTTGTTAAACAACTGATATCTTGAATTGCATTCCCACAAATATTTAAATATTCTAATTGCTGCAAGTTCTTTAGTTCGGTTATATCATTTAGATTTCCAGAATTGATAATCAAGGTGTGCAGATGAATCAATCCAGTCAGATCCGCAACTATGTTCGTTTCATAACCAATTAGTACTAAATGTTGAAGATTGACCAAACTCTTCAATGGAGAAGTATCCCTTAAACTGTTGCCAGATAAATTTAGTGCACGTAGATTTTTCAGGTTGTTCAATGCAATAATGTCACGGATTCTATTCCGTGAGAGGTTTAATTCCTCTAACGTGTGTAGATGGCATAGCTCGCTGATATCTTCCAGTTTATTCCCCCGCAGATTGAGAACCTTCAAATTTACACACGCTGTCAACATTTCTAAATTATGGAAGTGACCATACATCAGTTTGATCTTTTGAAAATGAATTCGAGCCGGGAGATAAAACACAACAGTCAAATCATAAGTATCATGTACAACCTCTTCGTCTTCACTTAAATCTATCTCGATAAGACCTAGATAATCACCCAATACATTCAAATCCACTGGCTGGGTCACTCGAATACTTCGTACGCTTGCTTTCAGTAAATTTGATTTTGCTTCCAAATGGTTGTGTATATTCAATACCAAAGTGGCTCTGTGATTATAAACATACTGTAATAGTCCACTGAATGCCTTGCAACAACGTACATATTGACGTAAAGTCCGAATATTCAAATACTGTGTAATTTGAATATGGATATGCAGAGGTAGATCAACGAATTGGTCCATTAAAATAAATGTAAACTCTTCCAATCAGCCACACAAGAACTAGTTCTTGCATTGTTCGTTCCGACTTCAGTAGATATACTGTTATATGAAGCTGGACATCACATACCAATATAATTTTCTGAGCAGTGTCACACAAGGACGGGGACGTGAATATTTCAACATCCAAATTAAGCTTCTATTGCGACTTTTCAGGTCTGTACTTTCTCTTCGAATAATCAAAACGGCTATCTTTATCTAAGACCATTTTGAATCTGATCTCAATCATTCAGACAATCTCACTCCCACTTTTCTATCAAATATTTCATCAACTTTAATATCTCCGTCTACATTTCGTAACACATATGGATAGTTAGGTACTAAGAGGCCATTGAAATGAATGATTGTATCCCGCAATAACTGAATTAATTCAAGATTACAAGTGGTTATTCACCAACCATTTCCCTATTAAGGCTTTTCAAATTAACATTCAGCGATTCAAATAAATTCTCTTTTTTACACACCCTACTTCAAGAATCTGATCAATAATGAATCAAGAATATATTTACAAAATGCGAGAAAAACAAATTAGTCCCAATCTTCATCACTTGAAAATTGGTTATCGCTGTCTAGATGCGACACTACTACCACTCTCTCCTCTACCAATGGCGAAATAGGTGACTTCGTTGTAGGAGAGTCGAGAGTATTTAAATAGCCAACACTGCTGAGCGTTGAAGTTGAGTGAATCCTGTAACTACTGCTATTTTCGTCGCTGTTAGAGTCTATGGAAAGTGAGATTGGGAATTTTTATGAGTAATTGCTGTTTTGAAAACCAGTAATTGTAAATACAAAAACACGGTAGACGAATAAGTATCAATGTACACAATCATTCAGTGACTATAAAGAAGATAGATTTAACAGTGATTATAAATTAATACATACCTGTGGGGGTGAGGGGCAACTTTGGTCTTCTTGTAAAAGAAGCACTTTGATTGCTGAATCTAGTTTTATTGATGGCGTCAATTGATCTTTCCAAGGACGCTTCCAAAGCTGCAAATTCCGGATGTTTATGTAACTTTGCAATATTAGATGAATCATCTTTCTTCTTCTTCTTAGGCATTGAGGCAGTCTGATTATCGTAACGTTTGAGAGCCATTTTATCTATAGATCGTTCTAACGATTTCCATTCCTTATCAATAGATGAGTTATTAATTTTTTTGACATTAGCACCTTCAGAGTACCGTTTAGGAGAGAGAGTGGAAAAAGACTTGGAGACATTTAGAGAAGGGTAATTTGGATTATTGTCAATATCATTGGATAGTTTCAAGTGATCCATATCGGACAGAATTGAGTTTAAAGAGAGTAAGTGATGAGCTTCTTGAGAAGGAGAGAGTAGTTTAACAACATTCGAGTGATCGATATTAGTAGAATGTACGATATCCAATGGTTGCTGATCCTCGATAAGGAAGGAAGTCTAATCGTTAGAGTTGAATTCTACCTTCTTTTTAATCCAACTTTTCATCAAAATGGAAACTGCTCAAAACATGGTTTGTGCCACCAAAGACACGAAACTTACAACCCTAACCCTAACGAATCCAAATTCTTATCAGATATTCGAAATATTTCTGTGTAGTGAAATTGTTTTTAAAACCACAGTCTAAATATATTGATTGATGCTTAATCACTGATAAATTTTTATGTTAATACCACAACAGAGGTCCAAGGAAACTACAAATGAATAACCGCCGGTCAAAGAAGAGAACACATAATCCTTGACACGCTTTCAATCCCCATACAGCCGTTCGAGATCCACACGTACCGTTCCTTATTCGTCGTACTCAACTCAAAATCCTTTATAAATAGCTCACATCCGCTCTAATACACTAAACTTTAGTTTCTTGGAAGCAATACACCCTTGTTTTACCATTATGAGATGGCACTATAAGGTGAAGAAGACACCATAGAAATCAATCAGCATTGGAATTTCTCAAGTTTCATGAGTCGAACTTTCTTAATTTTATGCTCACTTATTATGTAAAATGAAAGAGGTTCACCAACCATTCGTGTTTGTGATTTCTCTTTATTAAACCCGCTTGTCTCCTACACATTCCTCCAACTGTTTATCTTCACTCTTCACTTCAAAATACCCATTCATTCCTATCCATTTCCTAACAAATATGCGCTTATACCCATACACTACTACATTCATTACTGGTACATCAATCAGAACGGTTAACACCTCCGACGCTATACATACTAAAACACTGCATGTTACAAACACAAAAACTTGTCCTCCCAAAGAACCGATATCCACCAATTTAACCAGATTTGGTTGCACAGAATAATTGAAAAATGGGTGGAACAAGTACAACATAAATGAAATTCGTCCCAGAAACACAAACACTGGAAGCCCAAGGAACCATTGTAAAATATCAGTAGTTTCTACAAAAAGCATGATGGCAGAGCACAGTAACAAAACTGTTGGTTTCTCTTCCAAATGGCTATCCGCACTCCATGATCCAAATTTTGTATCATAGCCTACCTGCCAGCTTTTAACCCATAGTTCGACTTGAGGTCCAATAGATATAGGCGATTGGATAGTCAGGTATCCTACCAACATTAGTACGGCTCCATTAATATAAGGCATCCATTTCCAGGCCTTCAATCGTTCCAAAATTCCACGATTAGACAAATCTGCAAATATCAAGCCAACCACAAAATGAGCAGTCCATAAATGTGTAAACAGAGTGCACAAAAGCGCTCCAACCATAATCAAATACTGGACATGCACTTGATTCTTGAAATTAATTAATACAATCGTCAAAAGGTAGATATAGTTTGAATTGGCATACTCCACAGGTAATGTCCAAGCCGTAAACGGAATCGGGATGGGAGATTGTGCATTGGGATACACACCCAACGTATTCGTCACATACAAAAATGGCCGTACCACCATCTGGTAAACTGAATGTGCGACTTTATCTGGTGACGCACAAAAGGACCAATCAGGATCCAGACAAGGATTATCCTCTGTGATCAAGTCAAACAAGTTAAGGTGATACATGAGCCATGCAACCAGCATGATTCCAATCACAGGCAGGGTCAAACGAAATGGCCTTCGGATCAATGAACTTACTACCCCAGGCACATCCTCTTTCCGTAATGCAGAGCTTGTCAACACTCGACCAGATAATACGAAAAATAGTGGAACACAAATTGTCCAATTCTGATAAAACATCCATACCTAGCCATTAGAGGTTAAAGATTACTCGTTGAAATGGCAGATTGTATTCCCGTAATGAGTGAAGCTGATAAACTATAAACGATGCTAGTCCCCTGATTCCTTCCAAATATAAGAGTTTCTTTGTCATTTTGTTTGTGAGGAAAAAACGCGTGATAACTATCGGGTGTAAACAAACAGTACCTCCTGGGAAGAAACAACATGGAAATTGTAACAATAACATTTTAATTGTTACATATTAAACAAAATGTCGACTACCAGGAATTGGATTAATCATTACAAAAATAAAAAACAATACAAGAGAGTCATTTGTG